TTCATCTTTATATATTAATATTTTCTTATTTTAGGTAAAACATTATTCGCAAAAGCTATGACCAATGAATGTAATGCTAATTTTATTTTGGTTAAAGTTCCAGAATATTAACTATGTGGTTGGAAGAATCAGAAGCTAATGTACGTGATGTATTCAATAAAGCTCGTCAAGCAGCATCATGTGTATTATTTTTTGATGGATTAGATTCTATTGGTAAGAAGAAGATTTTAAAAAAAAAGATTATATTTTTGTTTTTGTTTTTTTATAGCTAAATCTCGTGGTGGTAGTGCTGGTGATGGTAGTGATGCAGCTGATCGTGTTTATAATCAAATTTTAACTGAAATGGATGGTATGCGTGCAAAAAACAATGTTTTTATTATTGGTGCTACCACTAGACAATTTATTATTGATTCAGCTATACTTCAACCAGGTAAGAAAATGAAAAATTATTTATTTTATTTAGAAAATTACGTTTTTTTTTGTTTTTATTTAGGTCGTCTTGATCGTTTGATTTATATTCAATTACCTGATGATAAATCTCGTATGGCTATACTTAGAGCTCTTTTAACAGAATTACCAGTAGCAGAAAATAGTCTTTTAAGTTTATTAGCAAATAAAACAAAAGACTTTAGTGGTGCAGTTTTAACAAAAATTTGTCAACGTGCATATAAATTAGCTACAAGAGAATCAATTAAAGAAAAAAAAAACGTACTGGACAAACAACAATGGATTTTGATGAACCAGCTACTGTACTTGAAATTCGTCCTAATCATTTTGAAGAAGCTATAAATTATGTACAAAGTTTAGAAAATGAGCGTGATATACCTAAATAGTTTTTATTTTTATTTTTATTTTTAAATAAATATCTAAAGATTTACTGAAGTCTAAATTGAAAATATCTCACTAGGAAAAGTGTAATGAAAGCTTGTAATAATTATATGTTCTATTACATTTGAATGAATTATCTTAGATAGAATATATAAATGACATAAGATAATTAATAGAAAGATGAAATATTTTGACATTCGTTGACTTGATAGTATATTAAAAACGGCAGCAAGTTAAAGATGTTATTTTTTCTGCTACTATATTTTAAAGTAATTTCATTTCCTTCAAAACCATAAGAAGATGAGTCTGATTCCAAGAAAGGTAATTTATGTTAACTGAGACGGATAACAACTTCATATCACACATACA